GGAAGTTTATAGCTCTACAGGCCTATCTCAAAAAACAAGAAAAAATGGTAGTAAATCATCTAACTCTACAACTCAAAGATTTAGAAAGAGAGCAACAAGAAAACCCCAGAGTGAGCAGAAAGAAGGAGATAATAAAGATTAGAGCAGAAATAAATGACATAGAGACCAAAAAAAAATACAGAAAATCAATGAAACCAAGAGCTGGCTCTTTGAAAGGATAAACAAAATTGACCAATCTCTAGCCAGGCTCACCAAGAAGCAAAGAGAGAGGGCCCAAATAAACAAAATCAGAAATGATAGAGGCATATTTATCTTTCTCCAACTGGCTTATTTCACTTAGTATAATGTTATTTCCTCACCTGAGGATATGCTTTTTATTGATGTTAAAGAGAGAGGCAGGAAAAGAGAGAGAAACTTAGATTGGTGGCCTCCTGTATATGCCTGAACTCAGAACCAAAACTACAGCCTAGGTATGTGCCCTGGCTGGGAATCAAACCTGCAGCCTTTTGGTGCACGGATTGATGTTCCAACCAACTGAGCCACCCAGCCAGGGCAGCTACACTCTTAATGTATCTAGGAATTGAAATTAGCCACCCCCCAAAATTTTTAATTAATTAACCACCCAAAGATTGTACGGTCAGCATAGTGAGACCTTGATTATCTAGTTAATCATGCAAGTTATGGTGAAACATTCTCAACAGTTAGAATCCGTTTCTGCCTGGCACGTCCTTGTCCCTTGACCTAAACTCAAAAGACACTCATATTCATGCACTTTAATTCCATGAAGTCCTTTTTCTTTTTTAAAAAATGTATTTTTATTGATTTCAGAGAAGAAGGGAGAGGGAGAGAGAGAGAAACATCAATGATGAGAGAGAATCATTGACCGGCTGCCTCCTGCATGTCCCCTAGTGGGGATTGAGCCAGCATGTGCCCATGTGCCCTTCACCAGAATCAAACCCAGGACCCTTCAGTCTGCAGGCTGATGCTCTATCCACTGAGCCAAACTGTCTAGGGCTGTATTTATTTTCCACTGAGTTTTTTTTTTTTTTAATATATTTTATTGATTTATATTCCAGAGATTCCTAACTTGGGGCCACTAGGCAAGCACTCGTGTCCATGAGACCCTGGATTTGTATTTTAAAAAGTATGCATGTATCAGGGTAGTGAGAACAGCTATTGTAACAAACTCCAAAGTATCAGAAGCTTCACCCAAGAGCATTTTATTTCTTGCTCCTATGAAATGCAATGAGGATGCATCGAGTTGGCAGGGACCCAGCTTCTTTCATCTTGGGGATGACCATCCCCACGGACTTCAGAATGCTCTGTGGATTCTTTGCTGATAGACAAAGACCAAGAGAGTCTGGAAGACTTTGGAGGAAAACCTATGTTTGGCCAGGCCAGGAAGTAACATCCATCACTACTTCTCATTTCCACCAGCCGGATCCCCTTCAAATCGCATCTCAGAGAGCATCCTATCTCTCCTCCCCTCCCCAGCAAACACTGTAGGTTCGCTCCCCTGAGGGTCCGTGCACCCCTTCAGGGTTGAGGCAAGTACTTGTCATCGCAATACTTCCAGACCTTCTCTTTGTTGAAATTCGGGGTCAGTGAGCACCATCGTTTCCCAAATGCTTCCGAGTCGTCGGTACATCCCCAGTAGATGGTGCGTCTGAACCAGAAGGGAAACACACATTTTGCAAAGTCTGCAGAGAAGAAAGAAGCCATGGGAATAAGAAACCTTCCTATCCGGTGCCTCCTCTTCACCCTAACACCCACACACACCCACACACGCACACGCACACGAGCACGAGAGCACGCGGACTTTTCCACTCTTGCTCTATTCCCCCCAGCACACACAGCAGCAGCTTTGGTGGCGGGTGGGGTTCTGCTGCCGACAGATGTATCTGAACGCGCTTGAAGCACTCCTCTGTCTTTGGTGCCCTGTGGTTTTCGTACCATCAGAGACCTGCACACAACTGATTTTCACAATGGAATGGTCTGTGCGTTCCATTTGTTTTCTTTTGTTTTGTTAATCCTGACCCAAGGATATTTTCCCAATGGTTTTTAGAAAAAGTGGAAGGGAAGGGGAAAGGAGAGAGAAAGAGAGAGAGAGAGAGAGAGAGAGAGAGAGAGAGAGAGAGAGAAACATCGATGTGAGAGCAACACATCAGTTGGTTGCCTTCCCCAGGTGTCCCCAATCAGGGCTGGGCATCGAACCTACAACCCAAGTACATGCCCTTCACTGGAGTCGAACCCACAACCCTTCAGTCCACACATCAGCGCTCCCACCACGGAGCCTAGTGGCTACTAGGACGGTGCGTCCCATGTGTAGAACCGTAAGAGGATCTCAGAGACGCTCAGCGCTGGGCTGAAGATGCCCCCTGAGGTCGTCAGAGGCAGGCACTCACCTTCATCGGAGCAGTACTTCCAGTAGCCTTCAAAGTTCTCCGTCACGGAGCACCATTTGTGCTTGGCCTTGAACTTGACACAGTCGTAGAACAGGTTGTCCTTATAGCGGAACGGAAAGACACACTTGCCATCTAGAGAAAGCGAACACACTGCCTCCATCTCTGGGCGGCGGGTTGAGGTGCTGCCACGCCCCTCTCCTCAGGAAGGTGGTTCTGCCCTGCCCGGGGCTTATCCACCCCCAGAGGCAGGGCTGCTGGGCCTCTCTCCCCAGGAAGGGTTAGCTGTAGACACGCACCCCTGTCCCACTAGTCCCATCGCATGAACGGCCTTGACATTTTGCTTAGCATCCGGCCCCAGTTCCAGAAACCGACCCTAAGCTTAAACACATACATGTGGCCATTTATCTATTCAACGATTTCCCTTCTGCCTCTTTTCTTCGCCCTCTTCCATCTTCACACACACCCATGTGCACACACACGTGCACACAGACACACAGAATGTAGGCTTGTATCTTTCCACACTTTTTTCCAGGTCCATATGGCTGTCTGAATCTACCCATCTCTCTCTGTATATATAAAAGCCTAAGCAACCCTTACAACCGCATGACCAGAACGACCGGAATGACGGGTCGGCCAGTCGCTATGACTTGCACTGACCACCTGGGGACAGATGCTCAATGCAGGAGCTGCCCCCTGGTGGTCAGTGTGCTCCCACAGGGGGAGCACCACTCAGCCAGAAGCCAGGCTCACAGCTGCTGAGCACAGCTCCGAAACAGGAGCTTCTCACAACTCCATGGCAGTGCTGCCAATCGGCAGTGCTACCAAGCGCAGCGGGCCGGGATGAGTGCTATTTTTATGGCTTATTTAAATATCTGATAACACAGGTGCTTCTCCACCAGCACTGCTTTTGTTCATGATTTTTAAATCTGTTTACAGGTACTCATATCACATTTTATGAAAGGAGAAAAAGGAATTTGTTGTTGTTGTTGTTAATCCGCACCTGAGGATATTTTATTATATATATGTATATATATATATTTAGAGAGAGTGAAAAGGGGGAGAGAAGGAGAAACATCTGGACCCAGCGACCCTTCAGTGGGCAGGCCAGCACTCTAACCACTGACCCACACCAGCCAGGGCCATAGTAAATGTTTTATGGTCAACCTACCTTTCATTTCTGGAAAGTAAGGCATCGTTTCTGAAAAATAAAATTTGAAGCTGATGTTTATTTCGCTTCTATGTCTTCCAACCAAGAACACGGTTTGAGAGTCTGTGTTTTAGAATCGCTTTATGTTCTTCGGGAGGATGTAATCATTGACTTCCCCTAAGTCCCTCACATTGCTTGCTGATTTCCCTCCACGGCAGTTTTCACCACTGATGTAAAGTAGAGTGCTTCCTTTTTCATCAACGTGTAGTTAAGTTCTTACCAGCAAGGAGAAATACGATTGACTGTGTATGTTTGTCTTATATCCAGCCACATAGCCAGCGTCTTCTGTTAAAACTCGTCATCTTTCCCAGGGTTCCGAGGCACTTTTAAGTTTACAATCATAAAATAATGCTGCCCATAATTTTCTGTAGGCTTACAGGCTATTTCCTTTTTGCAGTATCACCTACATTAGAACACCCCCTCCCCCGATAACGTTAGTGAGCACTGGTCAAAGTAGACACCCCTGACCTCTGTACTCCCCTGGTTTCGGTTGGAATGACATTCAGGTTAAGAATGTTCGTTTTAGCATGGCGAATAATAGCACAACAAATAGAAATCAATCCAAAAATGTTCATCACTACGGGAATTTTAAAGTAAAATATGGCTTTATAATGTCATACGGGCAAACAGGAGATATAACATAGGCATGGAAAATTTTGGACTTCATCTGTAGGTGACGAAAGGCATCTCCTATTTCGTTATGTTCTATAAGACTAGTTCTGCAAAAGGAAAGTCACATTATAAGGTTGTATATAATGAAATATTTGATCGTGTGAAAATATTAACAGTAAAATTGATTGCTCTCCTCCTTCTCCTTAATGATTTTTAACATAGAATGTACTTTTTTATGTTCAAGGACATAAAGTAGCAGTTTTGCATGAAAAATATGATTCCTTACAGGAAAAAAAGTATATAATGTTCAACAACTTCACATTTTATTGCAAAATATAAAAAGAAACCGTAGGTCGAGAAACCATGATGGCGGCATAGGTAAACACCTGAAATGGCTGCCTCACACAACCACTTCAAAAATACATCTAAAAGACAAAACAGACATCACCCAGAACCACAGGAAGGCTGGCTGAGTGGAAATTCTACAACTAGAAGGAAAGAGAAAAGCACACTGAGACTCAGAGAGGTTCGGAAGTAAAGTGCAGAGGTACGGAGGCGGGCGCCCGAGGAAAGGGCTGGCAATGGAGGATGCTGGTGTCTTTTTCAATCAGGAGGGAGTCTCAGCCTCCATACTGCTCTGAACTCCAGTTCCGGGCGAGTCTCTGGGGACCCAGACTCATACGGGAGAAACTGGACTGTCTGGCAGCAGGCAGAACTCAAGGGCGGCTTTCTCTCAGGTGCTTGCAGCGATAACCGCGGGACACTGAGATGATTCACTGAGACCCGGGGCCCCTTAGGGCTGGGCTGAGGATCAGCCATAGCTGTTTGCTCCAACCTGTTGATTCCCTGAGACCCCGCCCCACCCAAGCTGCTAGCAGAGGCTTTTGCATATGATTGCCCTGGCCCTTTGTGATGTAAAATTAAATAACAAACTGCAGCTGGGTCATGGAGACCCAGAACATCCAAAAGAAGGCCCAAGGCCCCACAGAAGCTTGCATTGCTTCACAGCTGGGCCTCATCTGGTCACCTCAAAACCCCAAACAAAGAAGAGGAATCTGCAGATCTCTCCATAGCTCTGCTGGGTAGCCTCAGCAAGAGGCAAAATTAGCAACTCCTTAAATCCAAGAGCCACTGTACCCAGTGGTCAGAGTGGGACCATCCAGATTACAACTCCTCAGATCCATAAGGGATACATTCAGGAGGCAGACTCAGTGAGCACCAAAGCCCCACTGAAGCAAGTCTTGCCCCAGAAGGGTGTCTCCAGCACAGAAGTTCTCCCACCATAGACACAGCTGATTCTCAGAGCAAATTGGC